TATCCTTTGCCTTTTTTTAACGAGTTTTTTGATTACGTCATGTAATGTATTGACAGATCGTATTTAAAAATGATAACTAGGATCAATAGAATATTTAAAAAGGTGTATATCTATCTTTGTTTCGCAACATCTAAAAAATCACATTGTTCATTTGTTTATCTGTGATGAACATTTACTAGATGAATGTTCAATTATAAATAGCATATCTACAACCAAGGTTATTACTATTATTCAAATAGAATGATCCATTCGTAACTTATCTCATATTTCTTATTGTTTCGATTAGGATCAAATTCCTTCTTTCTTTTTTTTTTTTTTTTGATGTCAATGGACATTTGTTTTATGGATACGTAGGTAGCTATAGTTCAGTTGAATAGTTAGATTTTGTCCAACTTGTTCTCAATAGGTTGTATGTATGTTTGTGTAAGTATATGACATTTGATGTTCAATGGTATGTACCAGATATGTATGCATAGTTTAAGCTGTTGACAAGCGGATCTCTTGTTGGTCTCGCACGGAGAATAGAATTGTTTGATTAGTGAGCAATTCTTTTGTTTCTTTCAACAATCACACACACCAAAGATACTTAGTTTATAGTGTATCGTGTCTGCTATTGATCAACTTTGTTGTCGTTTATATATGTTCTTATTTATAGCGAAGCTTTGAAAAGGAAAAAATTTAAATATGCATCAATATTATTCATTGTTATCATTGATATATCACTTAACATTCATCCTACTTATTATCATTATAGGTCAAATAAATGATGTTCATGCAAATCGAATAAGTATGTTTAAGAATTTAATGATTAAGTAGGAAGATTGTATTAAGACGATTGAGAATCGTTCAAAAAAATTTGTTTTTTTTTTTTTACCTTTTTTTCTTCTTTAAATAAATGAAATTCTATTTAGATTTAAAACAATCTTATTGTCGAGATCTTCGTGATTGTCAAACATATTTTCCTTGTGCAGTTTTTTCAAGTGGTTTTAGTTATTTATATGTTATTAAACGTTGTCTAAATGAACAAATTTTTGATGAAACAAAACAAAAATGTATTAAAAATACATTTACGGATCCTACATGTTCAAAACAAACTTCTATTGGAAAATCTCGATTAACAACAATACGTCCTAAACAAATAAATCGAAATAATGATACTAGACATCGAAATATAAAAGTTTCACTTCGTCCACCATCGATGAATATTTTAAAACGAAAAAATTTTGATATTAATGAAATCGAAGAAAGAAATTTACATGAAGAAAAATCTGAACAATTAATAACAGAATCTCCACAAATTCCAATAAAACAAATTAATGATAATACAAACATACATCGTGTATGTTATATTACAAATTGGTCACGATATCGAACTGGTGAAGCTAAATTCGAAATTGAATATATTGATCCATTTATGTGTACACATATTATTTATGCTTATGCAACTGTTGATGATCATAAACCAGAAATTAAACCTATACAAAAAGAAGATATTGGTAAATATTTTATTCATTGAATAATTATGTTTTATTTTATTTAATTATTTTTTTTTGGTCTAGAACATTATCGAGAACTTGCTTTATTAAAAAAAACAAATCCAGATTTAAAACTTTCAATTCGATTAGGTGGAAAAAGTACTCAATATACTCGATATCTTAAATCATCAAAAATGACTGCACAATTAGTTCGAAGTCTTATTTGGTAGATTTTTTTCTTTATTATTTTTCAATCATATTATAAAATAGAATCTATTTTTATCAAAAAAAAAAAAAACAAAAACTAGGTATATGGCATCATATGGTTTTGATGGAGTTGATATAGCTTTTGAATTTTCTGATGATGAAGTTCCAGAAGATAAAGTTGCATTAACTACATTACTTGAAGTTTGTCTAAAAAATGTCATTAAGATAAAAAAAAAAATTTCTTTTTTTAGGAAATTTCAAAACAAAAACGATTAATGACACGTGTAATAGTTACATTAACAGTAGCACCATTTGTTGATCATCTTCTTAAAGTATATGAAGTACAAAAAATTGAAAAGTAATTTATTTATATTTCAAACAAAACAATTTTCTGTGTTTTATTAGATTAGTTAATTATATCAATCTAATGACGTTTGATTTCTATGGTATATAGATATATATATATATAAAGAATATGATCAACAATAATATAATTATTTGATTTCTTTAGGTCCATGGGATGACAAAACAGGTGCATTTGCTCCATTATATCATCAATCATATCAAGTTGAATCAGAATCACTTCGTAATGTAGTAAGTAAAGAAATGTATATTTGTTTTTGTGAAACGCAGTCTAACAGGAGTGTTGAAGTATGGAAGTAGAAAGGACACCACCGAATAAGATCGTGAATCTTTCATTCCATTATATCTCATTTTCAATAGAATGGAAAGGTATTCGTAGTTTTTTATGCTCTACAAATTGACATAGTGATCATATGTACCATTAACTTCTGTCTTAGATTATGTAGGATCATACAAGTGCGATATTGTGCCTGTCTGACCCCGAATAAACTAATAGATGAACATGATCCCTATATCATTTTGTAGAGCATGAAAAACTATGCCGATCTACGCTATTAGTTTTCATATTGAGTTCGCAAAAGAAAAAATTATGCCTACCATAGTTATTATTAAAAGCACACAAAACCAACAGATCCTCTAAGACTATTTAGTCCTCTAAAGTTTTTTTTTTTCATTCAACACAAAAAGAAATGAATACACAGAAACATGCAAAGTTTCATATTCTATCTTTTTAACCTATTGAAAGTAAAACTTAGACAGTGTTGATATACGATCAAAAACCGTGTATGAATAACATCTCGTTACTTTCTTATTGACATCTGAAGGGTTGAGAAAAAGGATGCTGAAAAAATATGTCTCAAAATAGATAGAATACAACAATCTTCCTATGATTAGCAACAACAGCTACAAAGTGTTTCACCTTTTAATTTTGCGGGATTGCACTAACAGCTTTTTTCTTTCTTTGATTAAATTATTTGATTATCATAGGATGGTCTTGTTAAATTATGGTTAAGTCTTGGCGTACCCAGACAAAAACTTCTTATCGGTATTCCAGCTTATGGTCGTTCATTTACATTAGCTAGTAGACAAAAAGGTCTTCATGTACCTGGTTTGTTTTGTTGTTTATTTTAGTTTTAACATTATTGTATTATGTTTTTTTTTCTCTAGTCACTGGTCCAGGTTTTCCTGGTCGATATACAAAAACTCGCGGTTTTCTTGCTTATTATGAGGTTAAAATATAGTTTTCTTTTTATTGTTTAAAACTTATTGATTTGATTCTTTATTAGTAGATATGCGAAAAAGGACGTTCTAAAAGTTGGCAAAAAGTATGGTTAGATACTGAGAAAGCTTGGTATATGACCAGTGGTGATCAATGGATTAGTTATGAAGATACTGATTCAGCAACAATAAAAGTAAGTTTACAAAAAACGATAGAGTTTTTTTTTTAGTTTGATTGAATATGTGTTTTAATAGGCTCAATACGCAAAAGGAGAACAATTAGCTGGAGTATTTATATGGAGTATTGATAATGATGGTAAATGATGATGTAATATTAAACATAATTTACTCGATTGTTTTCTTCCTATAGAATTTTCCGGTTTCTTTTGTAATACAGAACCATTTCCAATAACTCGACAAGTCTTTGCTACTCTTAATCTACCTGTACCGATAACTAGTGCACCAGCAATTGCTATTCAACCACGTCTACCAGCTGCTGCTGGTGCTGGTCCACCTGTTCGTTTTGTTAATGTTCAATCTCAACCATCATCAATATTACCTCCACATTTACAAAAATTATTAAATGCTCTGAGTGTTTTATCAGGTACAACAAGTTATACACCTATAATTGAAGCTACACCACCACCACCACCACCAGCACCAATAGCACATCAAACATATAATGCTGAATATATATGTAGTCGTCATCGTATGGGTCGTAATGGAATTCATCGTGATCGTAAAAATTGTTCAATATTTTATTTTTGTGAAGGTGATGATTTAGCATCATTACGATATCATATATTTTTTTGTCCGCCTGGACTTGAATTTTCAATGGATGGTTGTACATGTGATTGGCCAACAGGTCGTCCATGTCAAACAGGTGGTGAAACATTTTGTGTCACACATTCAATTGTAACAACAACAACGACAACAACAACAACAACAATGACACCATATATTCCTCAAGCAGCTCTAAATACATTAAATAGTTTAGGTCAATTATTAGGTATATCAAGTGGTACAACATCAGCATTTGATTGTGTTGGTCGACAATCTGGTCTATATCGAGATATGTATGATTGTACAATATTTTATTTTTGTACAACAAATGATCAAACACCATATGGAACATTATTACGTTATGATTTTATTTGTCCAACTAATTATATATTTAGTATGTTAACATGTCGATGTGAACGTGGACAAACTTATGAATGTCGTACACTTACAAAAACTGATTGTCTTCTTTTGTAAATAATTTAAATTTTTTTTTTTCAAAAAGTAAAGAAAAATAATTAAGTTCACACATGTCAATGACAATAAACAGAGACATACATTTTCTTTCTTTTTTTTATATTTGATCTTTTTCAAACCAGTCATATCTAATATACATATGCACTTTTCAACATCATTTACATTGTGATGGAGATATAATTGATGCTTTTTAATATTGTCGTTTGTCGCCGTTGTTGCTACGGTTTCGGTTCAATGCACATTACGACATGACGATCATGACCTTTAAAAAATATGTGTATGTTCATCTCGATTACTGAGCGTTCACCGTGTCCATTATCATATGCCTACATATATGTATATATGCATATATGTGTGAGAAAAAAAAATACCTTGACTCATTTGAGCAATATAAAAAAAACTAAAGTTTAAAATTAAACGAAAAAGATCAAATTTTTCATTTTTTTTTTCTGAACAATAGTGTTTATTATGAATATAACAATGCAACAACCTCTATTGTATCCATTTTATATGGGTACATCACGTCTTCCCGTATCTATTCCATGGTCTTCAGGTTCGTTCCATGTATCGCCTTCTCGTCACAAACGATATCTTTTCCCATCTCAAATTTCTCAACAATTCTCACCATTTATTCAATCTCAACAACAACAAAATCCATATCCAACAATAGTACCTGCATCACCATCATGTTCTAATAGACGTTATCAACATTTAAAAAAATTAACCACTTATCATAATCGACATCCTTCACATCGATCAGTTAATATTTCAAAAAAATCGTATCATAATTATGGATATAATGAACCAATATATACTCATCCATATCAACCATCAAAAACAAAATCTGTTTCTGATCTTAAACATATGCCTCAATTTACTTCTATTCAAATGCCTAAAGCACATTCATGGCATACAATGATGAATAATCATCGTCAAACTAATTTAAGTGTTGCTTATGCAGAAGAAATGGATTTAACTCCAAAACATCGTCGAAAACGTTCAACAAAAAAACACAAAAGAAAACATTCTCAAAGACATTTATCATTATCACCAAAACGAAATTCATCATTTCTTCAACAGCAAAAACGATCTATACAAATGCCTGAATGTGGTATTGTTCGTATATCAACATTAGATGAAATGCCAATTAATAATAATAATAATAATAACGATAATAATAATCAAACAAATAAACGAAATAATAGTATTAATAATGATCGTTTATCAATGACAGGTAGTCTATTGAATTTAAGTAAACGTCGAAAAATATCAAAAGAAAATAATTCAATAAAAAATCGAAAGATTAATATAAATGGTAAGAAAAAAAATAAGAAGTTAAATTTTTACAAGAATAAGATTATTCGATATTTAGAAGAAACTCGTATAGATCTTGATACTGAGTCATCGTCATCGTCATCCAGTAGTAGTTATTCATCATTACAACAACGTCTAAATGGTTCATTACGTAATGATCCATTAATTAGTGCTGCTATGGAAGATTTTCAACAACTTCGTCGATCATCCAGTCAAAATACATCAATGATGTAAGCTTTTTTTTTTTGTGTTTTTTTCAATTTTCAAATTTTCTTTAATTTAGTTCTTATAATCAAAATCTAAGTCGTGATAATAGTCTTTCTTCAAATTCAACATTACATTCATCAACAATATCTCATAATAATAGTCAATCAAGTTTTACATCTATTGAACGTTCAGAAATTCGTGGATTAATTAAAACAATTAAAACACAAAGTACAACATCAATTCCAATATCTGTACCATCATCTGAACAATCAATAATATCAAATATTCAACAATTAACAACACGAAAAACTAAACCAAAAAAATCTTGTGTTACAGAAGAATTAGATCGTAAATTTAATAAATTACGTGCACTTGATCCCGATCAAGAATTAACTTGTGTAATACCATCATCAATATGTAAACGAAAAAAAACATTAGAAAAATCTTTTGAAAATATTCCATCTGTACCAAAATTGGATGAACTTTTACGTCAAGTTCAATTACGTCCAGTTAATAAATTAATGAGACCTGTATGTATTCTTCATTTTTTTTTTTTATTTAATTTTAATTTTTTTTTCTTCATTTAGAAATCACCATTAAAAGAAAAATCAAGAGATGATAATTATGAAAATCCATTATCATGTATTCCTGTTCCACAAAGTAGTCCAATACCTACACCTGAAATAAAAATTGAAGAAATAAAACATGATTATGCAGTACCAATAAAAAAAACTGAAGAAAAACTTCCACCGCCGCTACCACCACCACCACCATCATTATGTCATTTTCAACCAATTCGTAAATTTAATTTAAATAAACCAAAAATTTTTAATAATATACCTGAAAAACGATCAAAATTTAATTGGCTTCAATATGGTCTAACAAATCAAATGCCAACAACATTTCAACCAAATTTGATTGTTAATAATCATAATGAACATGGAACGAATAATGTTAAAGAAAATATTTATACATCAGATATTGATATATATATACCATCATCAACTACAGATAAAAATGATGATAATACTCTTCAAACTCATCTTGATAATCAAACTATTGTAACAGATGATTATTATTCTGATTTTGGAACAAAACAAATAACAATTTCATCATCTTTAATAGATGATTTTTCAAATTTATTTACACGTAAACATAAACAAGAAGTTAAATTACATAAAAAAACTCAACGTTGTTCAATTATGTAGTGAGAATGTATTTTCTTTTTTGTTTTATTGATATATATCTTTTAATATTGATTTTTATATTTAAATATTCATTTGCATGTTTGTCGAGTACATTTTGTGACACTATGAAATATATCATGGTTAAATATTGCGTTGACAATATAACCATTCATCATTTATGATATGATTTGTTTTTCTCTAATGATAGATCATTAAGAATCATATCAGTTTAATTATCTCCCATTTGTCACGGCTCAATTTAAGTTAAATACTATATATGAACAGAGACCTTAAAAATAATTATTCACTAGTCCTGCGACATTTTGATTGTAGGACTAAAATCAAGGTCCGACCCGAAAAACAAAACGATTTAATTGACGAACAGTATCTGATGTCCATTTCAAAAAGAGAGATGGATGCGAGTTTTTTTAATAATTTTTGATAGAAAGAAGATAAAGATCTGTGGTTTTCATCTTTATAAAGAGGAAATGAAGATGCATCGAATCTGATATTACAAGTTTTTTCGACCTTTTTGGAAACTAGCATACTTTGTGAGATGACCAATAGTGAATTCTTCAATTATTCGGTTTGTATTCAAACCAACAATGGAAGATCTACAAAACTAAGCAAGCCTCAGGGTTTTAGATTTAGTTATTCAGGAGTCATAGGTATTCTAGTCAAAATTCTCGTCGGATTTTTCAAGAAATTGCTGTGAAAAAACATAACATTTTTTACATTTATCTTCTGTTAAAAAGAACCATTAGATTCAAACATCTTCTATGACAAGGAGCATTCTTTCATCTTGAGGAATCCACGAAAAATTAAATTTATTCTATTTTACTTTACGACACCTACTATGATATTCATAAATTCTACTACCTTTACTCCTTGTATTTGCTCTAGTTCCTTCACTATATGAGTGAGTCATTAGACGATAATTGCCAAATCTAGAAAAATTATCAGTGACAGTTATATATATATATAGCTAAAACACACTTTCATATAAAATGCTGCAATGAATCGTAAAAGCACTTGAGAAACATAGCTAATAATATTTATCTGAAGCAACTAAATTCATTCTGGAGAACGATTTCAATCTAACATTTCCATGTATGAATCAATTATTTACGATTTGATAATCTTCATTACTCAACTGCTGTGAATGCGAACGAAATTTTTTTTTGTCGTTCAGACGAATAATAACTTATTTAATGAATAGTATGGAACAAGAAAGATTATCAGACTTGGCGATATTGAATATTGGAACAGATTTTCAAATTGATATAAATAAAATAGTAACAAAGGTATATGATGAAAAAAGAAAGAAAAGAAAACCGTAGAGTTAAAAAAACTTAATTTTCATTATAATAATCTGTAGCATCAATAAAACATTTATTGAATAAAGGACAACAATAGAATAATTAATAACCAACATCTGGACAAAATGTCACTAAGCATAAGATGATGATGATTGAATTTTTTTTTAACACAAGATTTTTAGCAACAACATAAGATGACGAATCAAAGAGTTCATTAGCATCAATATCACACTTTTTATGACGTAAATATGAAGTAAATTTTTAATGATTTTGTAAATCTTCAGGTATACATAAAATTTGAGAATCGTGAATAACAGAAGTTTGAAGATGTTTTGCTTTATTCAATTACCTATCTCTCAGTAGTGTAAAAGTCGTTACAATTCTTCAACTATTCGGATTGTACATGTATGGTTCCTTACTACAATATCATTTATATCTGTATGCAAAGTCACAGTTCAATTCGAGTTTTCATGCCGATAGTATTTTGTTATATTTGTAGTTTTATTCAGTTTAAACTGTCCATCATCAACGATGGGTTTCATTTTTATGAAAAAAGAAATGATACTGAATTTAGAAAGAATAGTCATATTATCTAAAATAAGGACAATCAACTAGTGCATGTTCAATGACTATCCCGTATGTAAATAAAACGTTTCAAAAAAAGAATCTATTTCAACTCAGTATACATATTGAGTATACCTCAAGAGTGAATATGGATAACAGAACTAGCCAACCAAAAAAAGTCTTTCAATCGCCGTATTTAAGTGACAACTAATACCATTTCTATTTTATCTGTTTTTCACATTCGATATTTTTCCTTTCTTTCTTTTTTCCATTCATTCGTAACAAGGTTCACTGAAAGTAAAATGACTTTCTAATATAAAATCTTTGTATTATTTTTAAACTCTTGTTTAATAGCCATGTTGTTCTATTTACTTCATTCCGACAATAGAAAAAAAAATAAATAAATAGATACTAGTAGAAAAAGACAAATTTAATTTTTGTTACAAATGACTCATAATCATTGTGTACAGCTTCACAAAGCTGAAAACATGGTTAGCTGTTATAATAACAACATATTACAATCTATTGCTACGCTTTAATATAAGGCGCTAGCTTGTCTATGCTTTACTCTTTTTAATCCCTTTGGGATGTGGTTGAGAGGAAGTCTCCATTTCAGTCGTACACTATAGGAAAATAATAATAATAATATATAGAACTATAGACATAATAGAGACAAGATAGCTCTATCTAACATATTATATACTAGAATTTTATCGGTAGATTATGATCACAAGGTTTCTAAAAGACTGAAAACTGTATTTTTCAGGTCCTTAAAGATTTTGCAGAAATTATTTTTTTGATAATGCCATCTTAAAGAGTGTAAAATTTTGAACAAAATTAAGGGTTGCTGTATTTTTTACGATCTTTTCTTGAGAAGTTACAGGTATCACAAAATACAAAAAAAAGTAAACTTTATCAAAAAATCGCTGAAAATCGGCTAAAAAAATGCATTTTTTCGTTTTTTGTGATACCAATAACTTCTCAAGAGAAGGTCGTAAAAAATACAGCGATCCATCATTTTGTTCAAAATTTTATACTCTTTAAGATGGCATTATCAAACAAACAATTTCCATAAGGTCTTCAAGGATCTGAAAAATATAGTTTTCAGTTTTTTAGGGACTTTGCCATCATAATCTATCGATAAAATCCTAGTATATAATATGTTAGATAGAGCTCTTCGTTGACTATTCAAGTCACTATTTGGATGTTTTCAATAAATCATTTTGAGCAAAATAATTCATAAAATCAAAGGTGCTCTAAACTTTTATCCGACACTATACATAACTGTACATGAAAGCAATTGAAATGAAACTAATGGTCAATTTAAATAGATGATGAATGTTTTTAAGATATTCTATCAAATATTTATTTCAAGAAATACACACGAACAAATGAACTTGAAAAGAACATAATACTACATAAAGGAGAGATCAATATTATCATTGTCATTAGTTGATGAATTAATTTATGTGTACTACCATCATCTAGCGTCATCTATCTGCTCTTGTTTCACACACAATAAACCAATAGATTTTTTTCTCCATTCTCTCTATATCATAGGTTGAATTACCCTCCTTGATATAAATCGACAGATGAAAAGAAAAGAATAGACTTTATGACTCATTTGACGGAAGAAGTATATATATAAGTAACAATGGCGATGCAGTAGTGATGGTCGCCATTTTTTTAAGATGTCTTTGACGTGTGAGGACATTTTTTCATTTTGTTTTTTTTTTCTTTCGAAATTTTTCAGAGTATCGTATCTGCTCATGATTCTTTTTTATCGTTTCATTCCACGTAATTTTACATCTCTATTTCGAATATAATTCCGCGCTGTTTTTTGTTTTTCTTTTTTTTTAAATATTTTTCCAATCAATTCATTAACATACTTATGCACTTAAAATTGAACAAAGATAAGAAGAAAATGATTAAGACGTAGAATGATTTTTCGTATTAAAAGAACAATATAGAAAAAACTTTCGTAATATTTTACTCATTTCTTTCCTTTTTTTTTTTTATTCTCGTAGAATTATTTTCAATAAAAAGAAAATATAAAACTACGAAAGTCACTAATTAGATATTTACATTTTCAATGATATAAAACATAATGAATATTCTAGATTTCTTCCTATTTAACAAAAACACAAAAATGCAATCAGTCGATGAATTTACACCATCAACAACAGAACCTGTATTTGGTAGTGGTTTAGTTTCTCAAACAAAAAGTCAAACATCATCAACAACAGAACCTGTATTTGGTATTGATTTAGTCTCTCAAACAAAAAATCAAACATCATCAACAAATAATGAAAATAGTGATAATGAAAAAATAATTTCATCTTCATCAGAATCTGTTACTAATGGACCAAATAATAATGAAAATGTTATAAATGATAAAATAGAATCTGTTACAGAAAATCGTGATGCTGATGATTCAACAGCTGTACATGTTAATGGTGAAAATGAAAAACCAACGGTTGAAATAACTAATGAAATAAAACCAACTGAAGAATCAATTCCAATGGAAACATCAGATCAAGTTGAATCAACAGTTCCATCAACAACAGAACCTAAACCTAAACCAGTACTATCAACACCAATCGATTTAACTAATGAAGGTTCATCAACAACTATGGATACAGCACCACCTCCTGCTGTTGAAACAACAACAACAACAAATGATAATGTTCCAGAGGTACCTAAACCAACTGAATCTGTAGCAACAGAACCGAAGAACAAAGTAAAGAAAAACAAATTTGAATTTTTTTTTGTTTTTATTGATTTTCCTATTTAAATATAGTCACCTCGTGGTAAAGCTAAAACATCTGTTGTATCACCAACACCAACACGTCAGTCAACACGTGGTAGAAAAACGGCTTCATCTTCATCAACAAATATTGAAGAAAATCAGACAAATGATGATACCGGTGCAACAATAACAACAACAACAATAAATCAAAATGAATCATCAAAACGTACAAAACGACAAGCAGCTACTATTGCTAAAGATGCTATAACAGCTAGTAATCAACCAAATTCAACATCAGGTAAATTCAAGATTTTTATTATTCAAAAATTATTTATTTTATTTTATTTTTTAGGTAGTAGCATTGGAGATGATGGAAATGATGAAGATATGGTTCCATCTGATCGTGATGAAGATGATGATATAACTGGTAATAAAATAAAAAAATCATCTCCAACAGGACGTAAAAAACGTGAAACATCACCAACAAATGCAACGAGAAAATCCGAAGGTAAAAATGTTCAAACACCGCCGAAAAGAGCACGAACAAGTTCACCAAAAAAAACACCTGAACCACCCAGTGAAGAATATGTACGAAAATTACGACCAAGAAAATAATATTATATGAATAATATATATATATGTGTATATGTTTAATTTCTCTTTATTCTTGCTGCATATTACATTATTGTCACGGTCAATTCTATGACCTCTTATTTGTGTGTCTTTTTTTTTTTGTTTTTTGTTCATTAAAGTCTGTATTCATTCGTATCTGATGCTTTTAGCTAGATATATGTGTTCCTTTTTTTTGTCAATGGATAGATTTCTTTTTTTTTTCTTCGTCGTTGTTTTGTCATTGTGTTGTTTTGAAAAAAAAAAATTTAAAACAGAAAAAAAGGAAAAGTTATCTTGGAAAAATACAGATAGGGGTCTTAATGTTTTCTGTTTTCTTTTTTTTTTTGGTTCAGTTGGTTCTTCTTTTTGATTTGTTGTTGCAGGTTTTTTTTTTCTTGCTGTCATTCGATCTTCTTGTTTTTTTGCTGTATAACAAGAGAAAAGAAAACGATTTTGATTTTACTTTCTTGCTTGATTTCATCTTTTGTTCTCGCATTTTTAAACATGATGATGAAGAAAAGAAATAGCAGGACATGCTCAATTTAAATTACGCATTCTCTAGATTATGTAATATATATATATATACATATGCAATTTTTTTTGTCTACGTCAAATATTCATTGTTATGACAACAATCAGATTGTAAATGAACATTTCGAGTGTTGCTTGAAGGTATGAACAGTTTGTTGAATATATATGTACATATATATTTTCTATTGTGAATAGTTTAAATATAGAGACAACATTGCATGATGAATTAATTAAAATGATCTTCTATAGAAATGGCAAGTTTATGTGACTAACTCGCTATAGCAATGTAAGAGATTTATTGTCTTTTATATTAGTATGAATTGACTGTCTTTTAAAGGAAGACAAGTCGTACTTCAAAAGCAAGGAGCTTTCTATATTTGATTAGTTCAATATTTGCATACAATATATAAAGTGTAAATACAAATTGTGATATAATTCTTACTATTTCATTCAATAACACACTGTAGTCTTTTTCACTTTTTCATCGATATAATCGAAATAAAAGATTTATTTAATGAATACTATTACCAATATTTAACTACGTAGTATTGATTAAAAGTAGGTATAATGAATGGAGCGAAAAAAAAAATTTTTTTTTTTCGTCATAATATTCGTAGATTTTACTGAAATAGGATATGAATATTGTTCGAATGTAATATGATCTAAAGAATTCACTAATTGATATCTAGTTATGCTGAAGATGACAATGGATCAATTTTTTTTTTCAGATCAAAAAAAAAAAAGAAAAGTGTGAATTATGGCAAGTAATACATCGACAAGTAAAAAAAGAGTAATTCAAGGATCTCAAAAAGTTGATTCATTAGAATCATTATTTAAAACAAATAATATATTTTTATTTGTACCAAATATAATTGGTAAGAGACGATAATGTTATTTAATATTATAAATGAATTTAAATTTTATTTAAGGCTATATACGTGTTATTCTTTCGGTTGTTTCATTTTATTTTATGCCAACACATCCGAAAATTACAATTATATGTTATTTAACAAGTGAATTTCTTGATGCAGTCGATGGACATGCTGCTCGAGCACTTGGTCAAAGTAGACTGTGATGATACGACAAAAGAAATTAAAAAAAAAACATTTTTTTCTACTTAAATTTAGGTACAAAATTTGGTGCTATGTTTGATATGCTTGTTGATCGATGTTCAACAATGTGTTTATGTTTTGTATTGGCAATGTTTTATCCAAAATGGGCACTCTTTTTTCAACTTTGGGCTGCTATTGATGTTGCTAGCCATTGGCTTCATTTACATGCGTAAATAAACCTATTTGTTTTCGATAGATTGAATAGAATTTTGAATTTGTTTTATTTTTAGAGCAACAGTCAAAGGTTCTGAAAGTCATAAAAAAATCGATCTTTCAGGCAATCCTATTCTTCGTCTTTATTATACATCTCGTGTATATGAAAATATTTGAATTAATTTTTCCATCTTTTCTTTTTTTTTAGAAAGTTCTCTTTACGATGTGTGCTGGTAATGAACTTTGGTTTTCAATGGTTTATATGCTTCATTTTGGTGAAGGTCCTGCAGGTTGAAAAAAAACAAAAATCTACTATTGAGATGTTTTCGTTTTTCTTTCTATGTTAATAGTAATTACATATGGAGGTTATGCAATGGGTCTTTGGCGCATTATTCTTTTTGTTGTAACACCAATAATGGTATTAAAACAGATTATTAGTTTGATTCATCTTTATACAGCTGCACTTGATATGGCTGCAATTGATGAAGCTGAACGAGCAAGAAAAAACTAGAATTTATTAAATTGACTTATTGATCTTTTTCTTTCTATCATTTATTATTCTCAGCATTTCATTGTGAACTAGTCGTTCATTTTCTTTCTTTTTCGAAAACATAAACGAGCAAGAAAAATATCATTCTTCATTGATCGATAAATTTTTAATATTGTTTTATATTCTGAATTATATCTATCAGAATATATTAGACAAGACTTATAATTGAATATCAAACAATCAATGTCATATTAACACATTGAAGATTCTTCAGTTCGTCTCTTACATAGATGGCTCGTTCTTAATTGATTCTCAATTCGTCCCTGAATTATTGCTAATGAAGACTATACAGTTAAAAAAATAATATTTTGATATCATAAATATTTATTTGGTTGTAATTAAACTACAGAATCAAGTATTAGACAGTATTACAATCTACTATTATTTCGTTGAATAATCCTGTCTTCATAATTCGACCATATTTCAATGAAAGCATGATCATTATGGAATCAATATAATAATTACGGTCAGTATCATTCGATACACATTAAAGATCATAGAATTGGTATAACCAATGGATACACGAAGAGAAAGATCATACGATATATACTAGAAAGGGACGCAAAGTGAACATCATAGAATATATAAGAGAAAAAAATCGAATGTCGTACGATACATGATAGTACGATCACTAAACAGTATCATCAGTAGATGTTGTTCAAAGTTGATTGTAATTGTGACGAACTATCTATGTAAGAAACGAACCGAAGTAAACCACACATTGTCTATATTGGCTAATAAAACGTTTTTGAACAGAAATCTATGAGAACCTTCATAATATAATTTACGATAAGATTTGTAGTCCTTTGGTTTTAAATTCAGGATGAAATTTATCCTTTTTTGTTTTTGTTTGCAATAAAAGGTACTTGTTATGTATTAAGGCTATGTTCATATCGAGGCTACGACACGTTACAATCAATCCTATTTTAAAAGGCGACAGCTGTTAACAAATAGAAATGAAGAATCATTTTATACATTCATGACCATTATCTTATCTTGATTTTTTTTATAGCATTGTGACATATTTATTATATTTTCTGATTTGAATATTTACTTGATTTACGATGATCTCGACTCATTCAGAAAAATATATTCTCACCTGGAAATTTTAACACACTCGTTATCAATCGTGAACACTTTTCCTTCGTAGCTATTGCTTGTGTTAGTAAATTCGTAAAGAAATTTCTGATCAATGAACAGAAATATATTTTTACTACAGACAAAAATTATCTACACCAATAGTTTTAAAAGTAATGTTCTTTTTAATAGTTGTGTGACGTTTCATCTATTGTGTGTACTTCTTTTCGCCTACACCCTCGACTATTGGAAAAGGGCAACAAAATGAATTCACTAAAAAACTTTATTGCTTTACCTAAAGAACTGATCATGTACCACCCATGGTATTCTACGAAAGTGTTTGTAAGTATCATATTCGAAAAAGTACACTATATCAGTGTTTTATGGAAACTACGAGAAATTTATGTATTTTAAGATAAGATATTCATCAGATACATAATAAGGTATCTGCTCGAAATATATTCAGTAAAATGACACTTAAAGTTGCTGTCTAGATATCGACCTAGATTTTGCACATAGTATTCTGTAGTATATATTAAAGGAATTTGAAATAACTGATTTTCTTTAAAAAATTGTAAATAGAATTTCGCTTTTACGAAGGCAATCAGTTCCAATGAAGGATTAAAAATGTTAGCGTACACACAACAGAAAATTTCTAGGAAGAAATGCATAACACAATAAAAATTTAGAAGGGGAAAATCATTCTGCTTCCCTCCACTAATCGTATAGTCTATGTATAGAGTACCTTCTAGCAAACATCCAAGTCTGGTGATCCAATAATGAAAACCCATTTCATGAGAAGTGATTAAATAAAATATCCTTCAACCTGCATTTGAGAGAGTGGGTTACAAGCTCACACACTTAACCCATTCGCGGCGACATGAATATTGCTTTTTCATAATTCGTAGAAGGTTTCATCTCTTTATTTGTGCCAGTTGTAAAACTTTGAAACAGTTTTCACCAACGTTTCTCTTATGAATATGAGCTATTAACATTCCTTTATCTGTGATAAAAGAATCAGCCCCATTGGTCAAAGTGTGGCAGAGATATTCAATTTTTTTCTGCGATAAATGGATTTTTGGGTGACTCCATAGTGTGGCTCACCGGTGGGCCACATCGCCTCGAATCTGTTAATACCTCCAATCAATCTATTTTTGACAGAAAAAAATGCGATTTTTCAATGATTTACTACCGTTTTTCACTAATGATGAGTCTCCGTGTCTTCAATAATGTTGACCAAAGAAGACGTGACTAGACGCCAAACTTTCTAAGAAATTGTTCACAATGTAGTACTACAAAACACAATATTTGAAAGTTCTCTAAAATTTGTGCGTGAAGCCGAAAACTGTCTTGCATTGAAAAATCTTAACCAATTTTTACATTGGTTTTCTTCTTTTAACATTATATTTCGACATTTTGATTATCAAAAGTCGATTGTAGTGCAAAATAAACATGATATTTGGAATCTGCATAATAAGCTGCATCGAATAGATAATATTTTAACTAAATATTTTTTCCACCAAAATTCAACTCGTGGAGATTCACAAGGCGAAACTCAGAAAAAAAAATGTTTGAGAGAA